GGGCCTTCTTGTGGTTCCCTCACTTTGAGAAGTGAAGTTACAAGAAACCAGGCAGAGGGTCTTCTCAGTAGTGGCACCTGCCCTGTGGAACACCTGCCCATCAGGTGTCAAGTTGATAAAAAACTACACAACTTTTAGAAGACATCTGAAGGCAGTGCTGCATACTGAAGTTTTTAATGTTTGATGTTTCATTGTGTTTTTAATATTTTGTTGGGATCTGCCCAAAGTGGCTGGGGCAACCCAGTCAGATGGACAGCATATAAATAAATCATCATCATCTATTCTTTGGCAGTGGTGACAGCTACCAAATCTCACTTCTCTGACACCATTACATCTGCTCAGTGTCATCCAGTGGAGCCTCTCCAGTGGTAAAAGGCTTTCTACAACCTGGTAAAGTCAGGGAAGTGAAAGAACAACTCATGAACCACTGTGACTGTTTTGAAAGTTTTTACAGGTAAAATCACTTGCATCAGTTCAGACTTTGATTCTACTTTTGAAGCAAGATTGGAGACAGATGGTGCTATTGTGCTGTCTCGCCAAGCTTTCATGGATCCCTTTCAGGTTGCTGGTCCTGAAGATGTAGACAGAGTGCATGGAGAAGTTAGACCAAGTACATACAGTATATGCTTGACCCTTAACCATCTGGTTTGCTGAAAGCAGCAAGACTGGACATTTCTCAATGGGTCTTAAAGGTAGTCAATGAACATGAGAAGAGCCCTAGTCCAGCATCCTGATCTCACAGTGATCTTTGTTTTACATGTTTATATTATATCACCCGTTTTCAAATGTGTGATGCCTAACATCAGACAAAACATCACACAACATTTCTAACTGCCATTTTTTAAAAAAAAATGAATACTATGCATCCCATAGGAATAAATAACTATATCTGGGGTGGGAATTGAAGCAAAGCAACAAATAAGCTATACTGCCAGACAATAGGATAAACTAATAAAGATCTCACATTTATGGAAAGCAGTAGGTACAAAGCATATTCATTTCCTTAATCAGAAATAGCTCTCCAGCCTTTGGAAAATTTATTTCAAATACAAAAGATAACCAACTTGTTTAAAGGTTACAATGCTGATAACAATTTATATTTTCTGTCTCTGGTGAAGTGGGCTCTAACCCATGAAAGCGTATGTCTGAATATATTTGTCAGCCTTTAAGGTGCAACAGGAATCTATGTTGTTTTGATTGAAACAGACCAACATAACTGCAGCTTTGGAATTTGTATTTGGATTACTCCGCTCTGCTCCCGCATAGTTTAATTCCTAGTAAGGTCTTGTATAAGTTAAATGTGGACTCAAACATGAGAATAGCTTCTTAAGTGATCAATTGTTATACAGGATCCTCTTTCACTCCACATCAGCCTCCACAAGATCCTGCTTCTCTTTAGTACCAGTTAGCCAATGCTGAAAAGTATTTAAAAGAAGAATCAGCCTCAAAGAGCAAAGCCCTTAATCCCATCTGTGTACACAGGCATACCCAGTCACCAAAAGCAACTTGTCAATCAAGTGCATACCACCCAACATGCCCAAGTGAATGGGCCTGTTCCAATCTCGGATTTTGCTTTTTAAATCTCGATGAGAAATTCTACGTTAGACAACAGGCTGAGCCAAGCCTTCCTTAGCTCAGCATAAGATGATTAAAACCATGCTACCCAGGAAAAGAGCGATAATATGAAACACCAGAGGTTTACTAGGGGACAGAACTAGGAACTGATATGCAAAACCACTGTGAATGTTTAAATCATATCTGAGTCGCAGCAATCCAAGTGCAAATACTCTAATCATTCTGCATGCTGCAGGCAAGACAGCCTGCTGTAATGGGAGGCAGCTCTAGAAATAGTTATGAAGGCTAAGCCCTTATACTTGATAATTTTATATATATACCGTATGTATTACATCCGTGTGGAGAGAGAAAGAGAGAGAGGTAGTAATTCAGCAGGAACAATCTCTAAAAGTTAAGAGTGTTTCTAATTTTAAAAGCTCAGTATCATTCTCAGCTGTGATACAATATCCCCTCAAATATTCCTTCAAACCTCTCTTCAAAACCCACCTTTTCCGCAAGGCCTTTGGCTTAAACCCATAATTTTCATTGTCAACTGCAACATATGTATACACACAGAGAGAGTAATGTACAAAATAACAAAAAATTACCTTATACTCAGAAGACCAAGAATCTCTGCAAAATTTGACCTGTTTTATCAATGCAGTTTTTTAAAAAAAATATATGTTCAAGGGTCATTACAATGAGGTTTGTAGATACAAGAAGAGAGGTTTTTATAGAACATCCAAGAACCAAATGGGCAAATTAAAATTGGCTTATTTGTTTTGATTTGTAATATCAGCTAACATAGCTCCCCCAAAACATATGTGGCCTCATGTTATACTGCCCAGTCTGAATAAATCCCTCTTCCCCCTGTCTAAAATAGTTATAAATTACTTGAGTATTCTTACTTGGCAAAAATGAATTACTGTATAGCACACCTGACAGACAGTGACTTCTACAACTGACCCTGCTAAAGGAGAGCAGATAAGGAAACACATCTTGTGCCATTCAGTTCTCTTTACGTCTATTCAGAAATGAGTCCTGATGAGCTCAATTGGTTTTACTCCCAGGTGAAGTACGTGCGTACTGGAACAACAATGCCCATTTCCCCAATAATTAATTCATGCTAAAGGTTGAGAACAGATCTTGCAATAATTCTAAGTTCTTGCGTATGAGAAAGTTATTTATAAACTATATTAAGTTAAAGAAATCTGAATAGGAACTACAACTTGTATAAGTACAACAAAGTAATTCATTTTTAATTAACCATGTTATGTTCTGAATTCATTTTCTGGTAAAACACTGACACAGAATGATTGACTGTTTTAGTGATCGTTCACACAGAGAGGGAAACTGATTATTTCTAAAGAGACTCCTTGCATGAGTAAGGACTACTCATTCAAACAGGAAGGCTGCAAGTTCAAACCCTAAACATTTAGCAATGAACAAGTGTTTTGTCTCCCTCACTCCAGGCAGAAACCTCTCTGAACTTTATATCCCAGTGGAATTTGTATGCATGTTTGGCAGGGAAAGTGACAGAAAGGGAGCCCTGCCACTAAGTCTCAGGGGTCAGTAGTGTGTGGAGGCTCAGCTCCAAAGGAAAGAAAGAATGTAACATGGAACCTCCAGAGGAGAGGGAGAGGAAGGAGAGAGAGAGAGAGAGAGAGAGAGAGAGAGAGAGAGAGAGTTGTGGTGGGCAAAGAAATAATACAGGAAACTTAAAAGGGGAGGAGGGCACCATTAGGGGCTGCAAACCATTGTAGCAAGCCATAATGATCGAAAATAAGGGCTAAAAAGTGTTTCACTAAGGAAAGAACCCACATTGCATCTTGACATGGGTTTTTAAGCAAGCATTCAATGCCAAGTGTGTCCTTCAGCAGGTCACATACATAAAAAATATATTTCCAAGTAATATTGCTAAAATATGTTATCATAGTTGTACCAATTTATTATAATTGAAGCCCTCTGAAGGATTCAATCTAAACTATTGTACCCCAAAATACCAATGGGATGTTAAGGTCAATGTGACCATTATTGATTTGTGTCATGAAAACATCTCTTCGCTGAAAGAAGCAGGTGACAAATGGACACACTGACAACTTCCAAGCCCCAAGAACAGTGATGTTTTGTGCCTCAAAATGCTGCATTTCCTGCAGCTACCATGATCAGAAATGTCTAGGAGAAGAGGCTCTCAATGAATGTGGCAATCTCCTCAGCGGCAAACCATTTGCTACTGAAAGACATTTGATATGTTGCCTCTCACCTCCCAATCTCATAGTAGGATGCTTTCCAATCTTTGGTCTCAGCAGACTGGAATCAATTTGTCTCAGTTCAGGCATAACAACAACAACAATAGAGCCATAGATGCTGCATGCAATGCAACTATCAATACATTAGTCATTTAAAACTCCGCTATATATACCTGGGCTGGAGAGTTTGTGTGGGTGCACCTGTAAGCCATAAAAGACATCTGTTTCTTCCATGACTCAAATTAAAATTTCAATATGTATTTTTCTTTTAAAAAAATAAAAAAAATCCCACGTAGAAACCAAAAACCTTAAGAACTTCAGCAACCTTCATTCCACTCCTAAGAAGATTATGTTAGGACCCTCACGCCAACAGTTTTATATAAAGAAGTGTTGGGGGGGGGAGAGAGAATGCAGAAACTGATGAAGCCACAGCAAAGAGGAGTTTAAAAATAGAAATTTGCTGCTGCCAACATTTGTACCGAAGTCGTAGCTATTTCAAACGCAGATATAGGTGTAAACAATGGAGCACAACTAAATATGTTCCCCACTACTTCGTGTGATATTTCGAAACTTTGCACATATTAACAGTTCTCCAGCGAAGTGTTAACGCTAATATATTGTCCTGTTGGTCTTTTGCTTGTTTACAGTTGCTTAAGTGCTTCTTAGGTATTGTTTAAAAAATGATAAAGGAGTTATCTCGGTCAGGCATTTTAGAAGACATAGATACATGGTACACACACAACTTCACCCCACCACTTCGGAAGGGGTAGTTGGCTAGGATCCGGAACAGCGCTTGATTTGTGCCTAAGCGTCTGGGCGAGCGGGAGTCGGGGGGAGAGAGAACCTATGCGCTGGCCAACTTCTCCCATCCGCCCCAACATACCGGGACCCCCCCCCCCAAACATCTGAGTAGCCCTGGGCAATGCAGATCGGCTGCACTATTTCTTTAATAAATAAATAAACCCCCAAGAACATCTGAAGTAGTATCGCTGCAGGTACTTGGAGCGGGACAAGTGCCAAAACAGTCACCCCCCGGCAGGTAATCCGAATCAAGTTGCGAGGCGAGCGCCCGTCAGCCAGCCAGCCAGAGGCTGCACTCGCCCGCGGCGGAGGCTGCTGCTGCTGCTGCTACGACTGCCAGGTGCCTGCCTGCCTGCCTGCCCTGGCAGCCTACATGGGTGAGGGGCTCTCACTTACGTGTACTGCTGGGGAAAGCTGTAGCCATCCGCGGCGGGAGCCGAGAGGACGAGGCACAGGATTATTTGGCTGCACAGAGCCGGGACGATGCAAGATGCGCCGCAGGTCTGAGCGGAGAACGCCATTTTTCCATTAAAAATTCAGCGGCGGCACCAACTCTTCACCCTCTCCCCGGCGGCGGTGGCGCTGGGCTGCCAAAGACACCCTCCCCGCTCGGGCTGGGAACCTGCGAGGGGCTTCTCTGAGGGACCGGGTGCCGCTGGATCTCCTCCGGCTACTCCAGAGAGGCGCAAGAGTCCAGCCAGTCAGCTATAAGCAAGTGGTGGCGGCCGCAGCCTCCTTCCCGCCCTCCGTCCCCACACTCAAATGCCACGAGCGGGGCAGCTCTCGGGAGGCTGAGGCGAGAGAGGAGGGGGTCGGGAGAGCGCGGCTGGGGCTCCCTACACAGCCAGCCAGGCGGGTGGCGGCGGCGGTGGCTGCTGCTGCTGCTGCTCGCTCCGGCCCTCACGCGGCGGGCTCGGCTCCGCTGTGGCAAACACTGAGCGAATACAAACTGCTACTTTCCCTCAAATAGGCGGCCAACCTGCCCAGCCTCCTCCCCTCGCATCCCTCCTCCTCCTCCCCCTCCTCTCCGCATCCCTCTCTTCCCGCCGCCCTCCCCTCGCTTCGGAACGCTCTCCATCCTCGGCAGCCACCACGGCGCATGCTCCCGAGACAGCCGGCGCCTGGCGAACCAGCGTCCTCTCAGCCTCTGGACCTTTCGCTGGGCCCAGGCGGCCCGAGCTGCTGCGCGCGCCCCCCGCCAAGCGTCACGCACTCGCCCTCGCCTGCTCGTGGCAGCAGGGGGGCTGGCGCGCTCGCGTGCCTTTGCCGCCAGGGCACGTGCGAGGCAGTCGATGCAGCCACATTGACCGGGTCCTGTTAAACTTGCGCTCCTCTTGACCCCGCAAGTGCTAGCGAAGCGGATTTCTGCCCCCTCCCCCACTTCGCGGCCGCAGCACCAGCACCAGCCGCGCTTTCCCCTTCTCCTACTGGTGCGTACCAGTTACCCCAGCCTGGCAAACTCTCTCGGTGTGTAAGCAGTTTAATGCAGGTCACTCAGCTTGAGTCTGCGCCCAGCTTTTCTCCCCCCCCCCCAACGCAGGTAGCACAGCTACCCTAGGAGTACATCCACTGCTTTGGACCATGAAAGTTAACACCTGCCAATCAAACTGACTCATCAGCTGCGAGTTCCTCTAGGCTGCTATTATAGGAAATTAAATGGGGGGGCAGGAGAAATTCTGTACAGTGGTACCTCGGCTTACAGACGCTTCAGGTTACAGATGCCACTAACCCAGAAATAGTACCTCGGGTTAAGAACTTTGCTTCAGGATGAGAACAGAAATCATGCTCTGGCGGCAGCAGGAGGCCCCATTAGCTAAAATGGTACCTCAGGTTAAGAAAAGTTTCAGGTTAAGAACGGACCTGCAGAACAAATTAAGTTCTTAACCCGAGGTACCACTGTACAAAATTGGAGGCCGATCCCTGAGAAGGTACACCTCAGCAATTCGTTGGAGCTATCCCATTTTAGGAGTGCCTTCTATTAAACTGAGTTTGGAAAACCCTTGCCAAATTTAGAATTCGAGGAGATTCCTGAAGCCTAGAGTTTGGTTTGGCTAGTTTAAATTTTGAAACTGGTTAGGAATTGAATTTTAACCGAACATGGACAGGCAGAATCCTCCAGACATCATGGTGACCAATCTCAAACATGTTCCTGGGTGTACATTTGGCAGCTCCCCTCATAATGCATTAGTGAGAAAATACCCGGTTACTTGCTTCCACAGCAACTGGCAGCATAATGCTCCAAAGGCTGCATGCACACCTTAACTTTGAGAAGTGTATTCTTCTACCATCTCAAATTTTTATAAAAAAAATATACTGCAAATTTGCCTATTTTCCATTGTACCTTGTTAAAAATACCATTCTCAAATGCGACCCCACCTCCCAAATTTTAAAATGGAATATGGGGGGAATGTTGTGAAAGGTAGGAGTTGATTTTAGTGGGCAAACAGGTAGAAGGAACACAGTGAACGTTCTATTCCATACAGTCTAGCAACTATGCACAAAGGGTGCATAATCCCTCTGATTTAAATCCCGCTGATTTAGTGGTACATGATTTTCAATGTACCCTATGTAGGACAACAGTTCTATGCATGATTCTGCTGAAATGGCTCCCAATAGGGCTTATTCCCTACTGTAAGCCACTGCAATCCTAAACACACTGAGTGGAGAGTAAGTTCCACTGAACACAGTGGAATTTACTTCCAAATAAGACTGCTTCAAGTTGTGCTGTTCAGCTGCAGTCCTATGAATACTTACCTGAGAGTAGTTTACATTGAAGTATGTGTGACTGAAGGTGCCTCTAGACCTGCTTCTAGTGCATTCATCTTTACGAGACTAGGTGGCATTGCATCAAAGCAAGAATTATCCCCCACTTTCCACTGCATTTCCCCATCATCCCAAAAAGTTCAATCTTTTGGCAAAGGGAGTTTGTTGTGAAAGACTACCCAACCAGCTATAATTGTGTGATGTCAATTTGCCAGTATGTGATTGAATCCCACCCAAAAATGGATGTTCCCTCACTTCCAAATAGATATACATAGGATCAGGCTGCAATACTGATCTAAAAGCTTTGTTATTTTAACCAAAAAACAATGTAAATGGGCAAAGACACATAGCTTCACAGTAAGAAGCACATATATCCCACGTATCTTGCTGATTTTCTAGTGCTGAAATGCTGCATTTATTAACTCAACAGACTGGCTACTTTGATGAGATTTTCCTCTGCTGGATTCATAATTTTAGGACTCTGTGGTAGAGATGGGAGGGAACAAGAAAAGGGGTTACCTAAATACAGCCATTTAGCACACATTTAAAACTGGACAAGTACAAACTCTTCAGGACACACAGGACCTCCAGCACGAAAAGTAACTTAGAAGACTCAGTGCAAATTAATCCCATAGAGAGAGGGGGAAATAGCAATGTACCTATTTAATAGGTATAATTGGAGGATATAAGAGTCATTTCACTGTGGCCTACCAAACAAATCCAGTACTCTAAGGGATTCCCCTTAAATGGTGCAGCCTCAAGAGTCTGCCCTTTGTTGTTGTTTAGTCGTTTAGTCGTGTCCGACTCTTCGTGACCCCATGGACCAGAGCACACCAGGCACTCCTGTCTTCCACTGCCTCCCACAGTTTGGTCAGACTCATGTTTGTAGCTTCGAGAACACTGTCCAACCATCTCGTCCTCTGTCGTCCCCTTCTCCTTGTGCCCTCCATCTTTCCCAACATCAGGGTCTTTTCCAGGGAGTCTTCTCTTCTCATGAGGTGGCCAAAGTATTTGAGCCTCAGCTTCACGATCTGTCCTTCCAGTGAGCAGAGTCTGCCCTACATATTGCCAGAGTCAAGTCTTGCTTCTGGAAATATATGTGTAATTTCTTAATTTTCTCTCCCCCCCTTTTTTTTTTGCGGGAGCTCAGCTGAAAGAGTAGAAGGATGACAATGCTCTATCTACAAATTAATGCTGCTCGTGTGAGTCAACAAAACGAGTGACAAAAAACATAGCATTGGGTGGCATTTTCAAAATACTTTTGTGCTGGGCTGCCTTAAACATAACTTCTCTTTAGTGACTCTTGGGTGTATTTCTGGAAACAGTGCACTGCCACACCAAAGAGAGTTAAATCTTGCAGTACCCTGAGCTTCACTTGGAATACTGCATTGTATACTGAGTATATAAACACCATAGGCTTCTTGCACAGTGGAAGGTAGCTTGTATGAAGACAATGTGAAAGGTATTGTTTCTACTCATCATTTGGGCTCCATGTGATGTCATCATGTCAAACATTTGTAGAGGTTTTTTGAAACTTTTGTACTACCTACAACAGGAGAACCCTTTGTTCCAAGTATCTAACAAAGTAAGGTAAAGGTAAAGGTAAAGGTACCCCTGCCCGTACGGGCCAGTCTTGACAGACTCTAGGGTTGTGCGCCCATCTCACTCAAGAGGCCGGGGGCCAGCGCTGTCCGGAGACACTTCCGGGTCACGTGGCCAGCGTGACAAAGCTGCATCTGGCGAGCCAGAGCCGCACACGGAAACGCCGTTTACCTTCCCGCTAGTAAGCGGTCCCTATTTATCTACTTGCACCTGGGGGTGCTTTCGAACTGCTAGGTTGGCAGGCGCTGGGACCGAGCAACGGGAACGCACCCCGCCGCGGGGATTCGAACCGCCGACCTTTCGATTGGCAAGCCCTAGGCGCTGAGGCTTTTACCCACAGCGCCACCCGCGTCCCATCTAACAAAGTAAGCTCCCCCAAATTCTCATCATGGGTTCTTCTATTACTGGAGTCTACTATCACCTGTTCTGACCACTACAGAAGCTGACCACTTGCTGAAGCTGAAGGAAGCTATGGTCCAAAATACCTGGAGAGCAGTACGTTGACTACCATTGCTCTACACAGGCTCCACAGCAGCTCCTAATGCTTCTGTGCATGTACATCTTATCCAAGTCACTCTGCGCATGAAAACTATAGTTGCCATGATTCAAGAGTGTCCCTGAATACATTAGGGCTTTAAATCAGGCTTTGTTGTTTGTTATTTAATTGATTAGATACTTTTATATGCATTGCTTTTAAATTGTTACCTGACCCAAGCCATTGAGGTGGGAGCAAGGCTAGAAATCAAACAAATTAAACTAACACATTACCTTCTTATTTTCATAGACCACTGGGATAACAACCACTTCATATACTAAAACTGGAAACACATTCCATAATATAGTGCGGCATATGGGGCCATTATAATGCTTCAAATAATTTTAACATCAATATGTGTTCATGTGTATTTTTAAGTACTTTAAAGTTATTTGGAGGACTTTTCTCTTTGTAATCTGTGTAGTCTAACAGTGTTTCCCAACCTTTTTTGGGCAAAGGCACACTTGTTTCATGAAAAAAATCTCGAGGCACACCACCATTACAGCCCCGTGACGTCAGCGCGCAGCGTCACGTCGGGAGGGACGCACGAAAGTGTAAGTTTCAATTTTTTCCCCTCCCCCTTGCCTTCCTTCTGTGCCAACCGCCAAAAAGCCAAGAAAAAAGCCAAGACTTTAGGGCAGCAGGTCGACACGGAAGAAGCTCCTACCTAAGGACAGGTGCGACGGCCGTGTCCTCTTCTGCCACACTTGGCAGCCCTGCCTCACGGTCGTGACTCCCACCCTGATTTCTCCCCGCAGGTCGAGCGGCACAGGCAGCCCAATGTGTCCAGCCCAGACACAAGCCCCGCTTCCCCACTCTAGATCCTGAATGCGACCAAGTGCTCTGGACTCCCGAGCAGGGTGGGAAAGAGGACTCGCATCTGGTAGCCTCCGGGCCTCCTCGCCTGCTCGAGGGATGGCATTGCAGGCAAGCTGCCGGCCGTCGCCATCGCCGCCCTCTCATGCGAGTGGACCTGCCCGGAGTGGTGGGCCGGGGGAGGCTCGCTCTCTGTGGGGATGTGGCCCGCACGCGCGGCCCCGCTTCCTCCTGCCCAGGGCTGAGCTCCTTACCCGCGATCTCGGTCTCGCGCACGCGGATCCCACTTATTCTGAAGCTCGCGCCACTAGCCGGGGCTCTCACACCGTGCCAGGGC